AGCGCCATGGCCTTGGACCGGCATGTCTCGGCGTCGCCATGGAAGCAAGCATCGCCGGCTCTGAATTGGATTAACTCCAGCAACAAAGAGCAGGACGCTGCAGCCTGTAGCTTGTGGATGGATGAGTGTTTTGGGCGTTGCTTTTGTAGGCGAAGTGATCTGATTGGTGGAGTTCGAGGTGGAAATAAATAGAGTCTCTTTGAATCCCTCGTGAACATAACTGAAGAATTGAAGGAGGGAGGGAGGAGAACTGAAGAGACAGAGGGAGGAACAAAGAGACAGCTACGTGGAGAGAAGCTCCATGGTGACGTGGCTTCGTAGAATCACAGGAAAATTAGATAGTGGGGTTCTCCTGTTTAGGTATAGAAGATTCATGAGTAGTTAGACTTCTGACGCTAATTTCTCATTCCCCCTCCTCTTCAGACTCACAGACATGGACACCCTTATTGTCCTCACAGATTTGAATTTAGTTAGCTTGTACCGTAGCTAGCTGCTAGCCAGCCAAGTAGCCATGCAGCCATGTTGACGCCGGCACACACTTAGTTTCAACAAAATATATACGCTGCGCGTCAGGAACTAAATCGGAGCAATTAATTTGACCATTGACCTGATCTGGTGCCCTATCGTGCGGTACACGCACACTGGCGCGCGGTTTGGACGATCGGCTTCTCATGGCTGATGAGATGTTCGTCAATTACCTAGAAACACCTCATATCTTTGTCGCTTTCATAACCTAGCGGACGAAGATATCCTACGACGGGTCACGCTCCCTTCTTTTCGGTCACAAAACCGTTTTCAGTGCAGCATGTCCACCGAAAATGGATGAGCGAAAAAAAAAACTGAGTAAGATGTACCAAGGCTCTGTTTCTACCTACCGTGCATTCAGGATATATGCACAAGAATCTATTGTCTAAAAGAGCCCAGATTCTTCTGAATTTATACAATATTTTTTAATTATTCCTCTTGAATTTGTAGAGCAGTCCTATAATATGTTTGATTTTGATGGTAGCGTACAGACATGTGCTGTGAATATGCAGCAGGTCCTCACAACGCCTTCATGGGTACCTTTCACCTAATTTTTTTCCTAGAAACCAGGTTTGTAGTGTGCGGGGTAATTAGACGGTAGTTATAGTGTACTTGTACTTGTAGTGTGGTACCAGTAGAAGTAGGATGATGATGTCATTCTTTACTCTATTTATCCTTTCAATTAAAATAACAATAACTTTGTCAAATGGTGTCCAAATCAAATCTGTTTTCACCGTTGCATTTTCTTATGATGAGATCTACGACAAAACAAGACCATATCGGATATGGTTTAAAGTTGCTTTATGCAATTGTCAACTTGTGTTGTATGTGTATATAGTGGTAACTTATTATGTAGCTTATGTTGTACTTTGGAGATTGAAACATGTCTTGTATGTGTTAGCTTAATTTCCAAACCCCTCCGTAAGAGGTTTCGCTGGTTAATGACAATTTTGTTTTGTCACTAATATGTATGTTTTGGAGAAACGTGTTTTGTATTATGTCACAAAGCATGAAGGTGAAGATGTCCTAAAATGTTGATAACAAAAGGAATCAAGGACAAAATGGTGAAAAAATGGAGCCTAATGGCGAAAAAATGGTCTAGAGAGATTGGTTATGCAGCAAGGAATCCAATGAAACAAGTTTCACCTCAATAGGAGATCATTCGGAGAAGTTTGAGGTGAAACTAGAAAACTGCATAGATGGGACATTCTAGTGGAGTGAAAAATGGGTGCACCAGACAATCAGGTGAAGTGTCCAGCCAAGGCATCTTTGTGTAGGATCCTATTGAATTCAACCGAATGGATGGTCCAGCTATAGAAGTTGTACATGCTGGATAATTGGTGAATAGAAGAAAGAGACCAGGGTTTTGATGTTGCTATTCAAACGGCTTCAATGGATGGTCCGATCGAGCCGTTCAATGATCACCGCATAGTTGTCAGAAGGTCATGAGAAATGTGATTGGTGGAGATGTCACGATGTTGATGAATGGATAGGACAAACTGTTGAGAAATTCATTTCTTTTCCACCATTGTCAGGAAGACTCATTTGAGAGGTGAGAATCCAAAGCACATCCCTCCATCAACAACTGACACATATACAAATTAGGTATTTTCTTAGACAAAGCAACTTGCATTGGGTAGAAGTTGGGCTTACAAGAAATAAACTCGGATGGCATGCAAATCTCAACTAAGGAGCCAATCCTCATCGCAATGCATAATTCAAACAACGAATTTGGATATGTCGGGAGCTGAGAAGACTGGTGACCACGTACATAAGTTGTTGTGCATCCATAGCGCACTCTACCGCGGTGGTGCGACACCACGGGTGCTAGCTACGTGGGTGAAGTATGTATCAGAGCGGATGGTATGTTGGGCGATGGAGCAATGCCGAGATAGGTGAGGCACATTGCCGGAGGAGGATCAGGAGGGATGGTGGCGATAGAGAGAGGCAGGGCAATAACGGAGAGCCCACGCGCTGAAATGAGCTCAGATTAGCATGACACTATGCGGGAAAACAACAATGGAGCCTAATGGCTACCACATTACGTCTCTTAAAACACGTTTGTGGGTTTAAAAAAAATCATAGATGCACCTTCTTTAGTCGCGCCTCTGATGACATCCCCTCTCATCAAAGACACGTATAGATTGAGACAGGCCTCCAATGGCGATCAAACATCGGAGACGTGGGTATTTGAGACCCGTCTTTGATCTGATCACCTCTCATTGGAGATGCGGGTGAATTCAGACACCTCTCGTATGGATCTCATATCATAGACGCATCTTGTTTGGATGCGCCTCTAATATGGTTCTCACATTATAGACGTGTCATGTTTGCATAGGTCTCTGATATTTATGCGCTCTCAACAGGGATGAGCTATCCCCAAAAAAACCAATATCACAGACAAGAATGGTTAACCACGTCTTTAATTTGTCACCAGTGATACATCCTGTTGACTCGTTTTTTATGTGTGCTATTTTGGCATTGTGACTTGTGAGGATTGTCTTGTTCCTATGCAAATCCAAGGATGTTTTCTATGGAACAATGGTTGCACCAAAACTGGATGTCTTTTGCTTTTCTATGATGAAATGATTTAGTCTACCAAATGCATGCCACTGCTTAACTAACAAGGTATATCACTTGTTCTGTTGTTTATTAAAGCCTTCATTTCAGGAAAATATACAAAGGCTACATTTAATATTCTAGACTTCTAAAGTATGTTATAGTAAAATTATATCAACTGTTGTACAATGTTGTGTATTTTTTTTTTTGAGTGATGACCTGAAGAATAAGTTCACCTTGCATCCCAAAACTAAGGACCGGGTCTAATTTTCAACCCTTATATTTTTAGCCAACAATTATTAAAACCATTCACTTATCGACCTTAACTCGAATTTTAAGGGAGACGAGGCGTCCATGTGGTGACGTGGCCAGGGCCAAAATATTTATTATATTTTCATATTTTTAACTAAATTTATTCTTTCATTTGTGGAGCACCTACATCCACAAATATATAACAAAATGTAATTTGACTGTTTAAAATATTGTTATGTGCTAATTAAACTTATTCACTATGAAGCAAATGAATTCTTAATACTTATGTGTGCATTTTTATAGTTGTTTGCAGTGATATGCTAAATTGATTTTGTAGAACAATGATTCACACGTAGCATTATTGAAAACCTAAATCAATTTAGTACAAAATATAATTTGATCACCATGATAAAAAAAGGGTTGAGTTTGGTTTTAGACACACTATCTATTTCAGTTTATTTTATGTTTCCGAAGGGTTCAAAATTTCAACGAAAATTCGTCAAAAAATTCATGAATTTTGGTTATTTCGGGGGTGACCGAAAGAACAAAAATCAAAATTCGTATTACACTAATACACATGCTTTATTGTAAATTATAACTATAGACTCATATTTTTCTATTGTTTATGTTGCAAAATTTCCTACTCAATAGATGTGGAGACATAAATTATGCTAAAATTTTGTTTATAGCTAAAAATTTTAGAAAATTATATCTTTTGTTGAAGTCTCTAAAAAATTTTATGAAAATTTCATGAACTTTGATAATTTTGGCAGTCGTCCAAAAAAATTCAAATACTGAAACTGAAAACCCTGTCACATAATACTCTATGTTACTTAGAAAAATTTATTTATGTTTCAAGTATTTACTAGAAAGCGAAAGTTTTCTCGAAGTTGTTAAGCAATTTTTTTATTCAAATAATAATTAGTGGTTGGCTCAATATTGATCCAAACGAGGCCAAAACTGAAACTACTTTGCAGCATGGTGAGCAGCATTTTGCGATCATGTAGCGTGTATTTGGTTGAGTTGGGTAAAATACATGCATGGCAGAAACCCACAATATATTTGGACTTTTCAATTTCCAATATCAAAATGAAGTTAACTGTGCGCATGTTTAGTTGAGGGAAGTTTGGAATTTGGGTTACTGTAGCACTTTCGTTTTTATTTGACAATTAGTGTTCAATCATGGACTAATTAGGCTCAAAACGTTCGTCTCGCAATTTCCAACCAAATTGTGCAATTAGTTTTTTTTCGTCTACATTTAATGCTCCATACACGTATCGCAAGATTCGATGTGATGGGTACTATAGCATTTTTTGGAAAAAAATTTGGAACTAAACACGGCGTGTGTACAACGTATCTTGTCCACATGTTCACATCGAAAGAGCTCAAACATTCCATACGGCACGGCGAAAACATGTACTAGTAGGTGACCGGATTGCCGTCTCGGGTAATCACATCCATCAAGTCCAACCATTCCGTACGTTATGTCCATCAGTGCACGTTCATATACTTCATACTAACATAGGAGGGAAAGACCACTATATAATCCCACGCACCACGAGACTAACCTCAAACCATCAAGCAAATCAGAGCACAGGAAATAAGAAAAACAGAGTGCCAGCCTGCGAGGAGAGCCTGACCATTTTTTTTCCAGGCTAGCAAAGATGACCACTGCCGGAACTATTGCCACCATGGCGATGTTCCTCCTGGTCACGCTCTCTGCTTCCCAAATGGCGTCCTCCCTCCGCCCCCACGCTGACCTCGGGCTCGGCACATGCCGCCCCAGCGGGTACCTCCCGGGCCGGCACTGCGTCAAGATCACAGCGAACGGCAACTCCGTGTACGCCAAGGTGGTGGACGAGTGTGACTCCGTGGAAGGCTGTGACGAGGACCACAACTTTGAGCCGCCATGCGACAACAACATCGTCGACGCGTCGCCAGCTGTGTGGGATGCCTTGGGGCTCGATCAGAACGTCGGCATGGTAGACATCACCTGGTCCGAGGAGTGAACATCGGCTGCATGTTTCCTTTGTTGGTGAGAGGTGTCGTGCTGTGTATATTTCAGAGTAGGGTAGTTGGCTCGTGGCTCATTGCCCTATACGTACTGTACTATATCCCATTGTATTGTTGCTTGTGTGTGTGTATATATATATATATGGAATAAAAGGTGTCATTCATCTCCTAAATCCTTCTATCTAATCTAGCTAGAAGGAATTGGAATGATAATAAATTATGCTGCTTTTGTACTAATTTTCAAACCATTCATCACCTCTTCTTTGAATGTTACCATGCTAGATTTTTGTGGCATGCTTTACATATTGTGTTTGTAGTGCCTCCTTTGAGAGTGGAACGGCAACTCCATGTATGCCAAGGTTGTTTATTCAATAGGCGAATTGAGCGTAGCTCAGCTGGTTGGGTTCCTCGTGGTGAAACATGCCCACCCGGATTTAAGTCCCCGACTTGACACGGGTGCTCGCATTTTCCTGGATTTTTTCCAGGATTTAACGGCGCTATTTTTTAGTGGTAGGCGAAGTGCCCGTCGATAGCGAGGCGCCTGTGGTGACTTCGTCAATCTCGAGATTTGCCGGTACAACTTAGTTCTCCGAAGGTGCTCATAGGGGTAGGGTGTGCGTGCGTGCGTGCGTTTATAGAGGTGAGTGTGCGCTCGTGTATGTGAGCATCTGCTTCTGTAATTGGGTCTCGCAAAAAAAGGTGGTTTATTCAATAGAGATGGCGTAAACAAGGATGCGATAAGTACATTCTCTACTGGTGACTGGTGCTGCAGGATTTTGTTGGTCCATATGGCTAACAAGGAATGATAGAATTTTTGATAAATCTCAACCTAAAAAGTATTTGTATGTTAGATCCGATATTGGGCCCAATTGCAGCATAGTGAAGAGAGAAAAGACTAGATTATACAAACATGTTGCAAGCTGGAGACTGCAGCAATGGCTTTCTTTGCATCCCATGGATGACCATTCACCTTCAAGAATAGAGCGCTCATAAAATCCCAAGAGGGTTTTTTAGAACTCACCTTGCTTCGCTCCGATCCCCCTCCCCAGTGCTCCGCTCTGTTGTGACATCGTTCCCCAACCCGAGGATCCGTCTTTTGCCGCCGCCGCGCGTGTCCTTATTCCATGGACAAGCTCCTGACGGAGGTGGCTGTTGAGATTGCTAGCCGCATCGCTGCGGCTGCAACGGATCCCATGGAAGTCAGTTCACTGTCTCTTCAAAGACATATGCCACCCAGCTGATAAAAGCAGCTGGTGACAGAAAGTTAATCTGAAAATGGTGGTATAAGAGAGCTCACGATGCGTTGTCGAAATTATGGCACTATCGTTCAAGCCATATTTCGAGGAGGAGAATAGAAAGACAAGTTAAGAATGATATTCTTCCTCCATTAGAGCTCTCAGATTAAGAACAATGCAGGGAATACATAAAAGGAAAGTATGTAAAAAAGATTAAGAAAGATGACAAACGAAGCGCAGAAATTTTACAGATTTTTGACACAGACATCTGTGGTCAACTTTCCTGTAAAGAGTGTGGATGGTTATGATTCGTTCATAACATTCACAGATGATTACTCCCATTATGACTATATTTATCCAATCAAAGAAAGAAAAGATATATTGGATAAATTTAAGATATTAAAGATTAAGATAGTCAGGTCTGACTGTGGGGGAGTACTACGGTCGGCATACCCTAAAAGAATGGCATAGTAGCTTAGTATTCTACACTGGGTGAACCTCAGTAGAATAGAGTAGCTAAAAGAATCAATCGCACGCTGACGGATATGGTGGGCAGTATGATAAGTTACCCCACCTTACAGTTGAGCCTGTGGATGGAGGTGTTAAAAACCCCATTCATATTCTCAAAAGAGTACCAAGTAAGTCGGTGCCCAAAACGCCGTATGAGTTGTGGACAGAAAGATTACCCTCACTAAACCACTTGCGTGTGTGTGGGGGAGCCCTGCTGAGGCTAAAGTATTTAACCCAAACATTAGGAAGTTATATCCCAAAATAGTAAGTTGCCATTTGTTTGACTACATAGAAAAGTCAAAAGGTTTTCGTTTCTACTGTCTAGAGAGACACACAAAGTTTGTGGAAACGAGACACGCTGTTTTCCTAGAGGATAAAAAGATGAGGGGGAGCATGGTAGCTCGAGAAATTATCCTTGAAGTGAAGCGGGTACCTCCCGGGCCGGTCTGGCAATTGTGAGAAGAGCAACGACCCGGACTGCTGCGAGGACGGTAAGATGTACCCGCAGTATCGCTGCTCGCCGCCGGTCACAGCCAGCACCAAGGCAGTGCTGACGCTCAACAGCTTTGAGAAGGGCAAGGACGGGCCCGTCAGAGTGCGACAACGCGTACCACAGTGACGAGGAGAAGGTTGTTGCGCTTGCGCTCTCAACGGGATGGTTCAGCAACATGGCGCGCTGCGGGCACCGCGTCAAGATCACAGCGAACGGCAACTCCGTGTACGCCAAGGTGGTGGACGAGTGTGACTCCGTGGAAGGCTGTGACGAGGACCACAACTTTGAGCCGCCATGCGACAACAACATCGTCGACGCGTCGCCAGCTGTGTGGGATGCCTTGGGGCTCGATCAGAACGTCGGCATGGTAGACATCACCTGGTCCGAGGAGTGAACATCGGCTGCATGTTTCCTTTGTTGGTGAGAGGTGCCGTGCTGTGTATATTTCAGAGTAGGGTAGTTGGCTCGTGGCTCATTGCCCTATACGTACTGTACTATATCCCATTGTATTGTTGCTTGTATATATATATATATATATATATATATATATATATATATATATATATGGAATAAAAGGTGTCATTCATCTTCTAAATCAGTCTATCTAATCTAGCTAGAAGGAATTGGAATATAATGATAGTAAATTATGTTACTTTTGTACTAATTTCCAATCCATTCATCAGCTCTTCTTTGAATGTTACCTTGCTAGATTTTTGTGGCATGCTTTACATATTGTGTTTGTAGTGCCTCCCTTGAGTGTGGAACGGCAACTCCATGTATGCCAAGGTTGTTTATTCAATAGGTGAATTGAGCGTAGCTCAACTGGTTGGGTTTCTTGTGGTGAAACCTGCTCACCCGGATTTAAGTCCCTGACTTAACACGGGTGCTCGTAGTTTCCTAAATTTTTTCTAGGATTTAACGGCGCTATTTTTCAGTGGTACGCGAAGTGCCTATCGATAGCGAGGCGCCTGTGGTGACTTCGTCAATCTTGAGATTTGCCGGTACAACTCAGTTCTTCGAAGGTGCTCATAGGGGTAGGGTGTGCGTGCGTGCGTTTATAGAGGTGAGTGTGCGCTCGTGTATGTGAGCATCTGCTTCTGTAATTGGGTCTCGCAAAAAAAGGTGGTTTATTCAATAGAGATGGCGTAAACAAGGATGCGATAAGTACATTCTCTACTGGTGACCGGTGCTGTAGGATTTTGTTGGTCTATATGGCTAACAAGGAATGATAGAGTTTTTGATAAATCTCAACGTAAAAAGTATTTGTAGGTTAGGTCCGATATTGGGCCCAATTGCAGCATAGTGAAGAGAGAAAAGACTAGATTATACAAACATGTTGCAAGCTGGAGACTGCAGCAATGGCTTTCTTTGCATCCCTGTTTTGTGAGACTTTTACTGGACAGATTGGTATCTGCAAACCAAAGCGCATTTATCTATGGTCATTGTATCCATGACAACTACATCTTGGTCCAGCAAACAATCAAACTTCTCCATCGACAGCAAATGCCAAGTATATTTAAAAAAAGCTGGACATATCCAAAGCTTTTGATTCAGTCTCTTGGGTTTTTTATTGGAAATTCTAGTGCACTTGGGTTTTGGACAGGTTTGGCGCAACCTGGTTTTAAATCTGCTCGCTACATCTTCAACTCGAGTGCTGCTCAATGGAGATCCTAGAGATGTAATCAGGGACCAACGAGGGCTCCGCCAAGGAGACCCCCTCTCCCCCATGCTTTTGGTAATGGATGTCCTAAACAGTTTATTTATAAAGGCCAGAGAGCTGGATATTTTACAACCTTTATGTTGGCGTAATCCTAGGCAGCGCATCGCTGTACGCTGATGATGTCGCTTTGTTCATTCAGCCGATTGAGGAAGAGATGGGACTTACAATGGAAATTCTTCATAATATGGTCTTCACTATAACCTGCAAAAGAGTTGCATTGTTCCTATCAGATGTGAACCATTGCAGTTGGAGGTGTCATTTACCCTGCCCTGTACACCTGCTTCTTTTCCTTGCACTTATTTGGGGTTACCAGTCTCGAACAAACAATTCAGGAAGGCTGAGTTATTATCGTGGATAGAAAGAATTAGTGATAAATTGTTGGCTTGGAAGGCTTGCCTCATGAATATGGCTGGTAGAGTTACTTGGGTACGTTTTGTGTTATCCGCTATTCCCATCTATGTGTTGATCACTATCAAGGTTGGTTTATTCGGTCCATTGATAAATTAAGAAGAGCTTTCGCTTGGAAGGGACAGAAACAAGTAAATGGAGTTCTTGCCTGGTCGCTTGGGATAAGGTGCAGTGACCGTTGGATTATGGTGGCCTTGGTATTCTTAACTTGGAGTTCATGGGTTGGGCGCTCCAAATTCGATGGTTGTGGCTCAAAAAGACAGACCCCAACAGAGCTTGGGCCAGTTTGGACATACAGGTTCACCCAAATGCCACAGCCATGTTCAACATTGTGATCGAGACTCAAGTCAGAGATGGGAGTAGCACACTTTTCTGGTCAGATCGATGGCTTATGGGCTGCTTGGTACACTACCGGAATCCTCAAATTTGCCGAGTGTTTTTATGTTTGCCAAGTGTATTTCCTCGCGCACTCGGCAAACAAGCTCTTTGCCGAGTGCTGAGCTAAAAACACTCGACAAACAAGGGGTTTGCCGAGTGTTCTTTTTTTTTGCACTCGGCAAAGAAATAAAAAAATTCTGGAAAAGAAGGGGAAGGGAAAAAATGAGGAAAAAACTTTGCCGAGTGTCCAGATCCAGGACACTCGGCAAAGCCCCACGCACCCACGCCCTAAAATCACACACCCACGGCCGCCCTCTCCTTATTGCCCCCACTCACACGCGTGCCCTCTCCTTGCCCCCACTCCCTCTCACTGCCTCCCGCCGGCGGCCGGCCCCGGCCCCTCCCCTGCTCTCCTCCCGCCGGTGGCCGGCCCCTCCCCTCCTCTCCTCCCGCCGGCGGCCGGCCCCGGCCCTCCCCTCCTGGCCCGCGCCGCCCTGGATCCGCCGCGCCGCCCTGGATCCGCCGCCTCCCTCCTCCCACCGGAGGCCGGCCCTGGCCCCTCCCTTCCTCTCCTCCCGCCAGTGGCCGGCCCCGGCCCCTCCACTCCTTGCCCGGATCCTCCCCGGATCCGCCTCCTCCCTCCTCTCCAGGGGCGACGCCCCTCCCCTCCTCTCTAGGGGCGGCTGCATGAGGTGCGCTAAGCGGAGGAGCGCGGTGGCGAGGAAGGGGTCGGGCAGCGAGAGGGAGGAGAAGATGGCGCGCACGCGGGCCGGAGAGGGAGCGCGGCGAGGCGGTGGAGCAGTTGGGAGAGGAGGAGCGCAACGAGGCGGCAAATCTGGGCGCTGGTGTTGGCGGCGGCCGTGGTTGGGGGCGGCCGGTGGTGGCGTGTGATGGTGGCAATTTGTTTGTTTTTTATTTTTTGCGGAAAATGTTTGCCGAGTGTTTTCTAGGCACTCGGCAAAGTCTTTGCCGAGTGCCCGACGAAAAACACTCGGCAAAGTTAGTTTGCCGTTAAAAGTTTTGCCGTGTGCCCTTTGCCGAGTGTTACACTCGGCAAAGGATTTGCCGAGTGTTTTAGTGGCGTTGCCGTGTGCCCTGGGCACACGGCAAAGCTCCCGTTCCCGGTAGTGGTACAAGATATCACACCGAGTGTGGTGACCGTTGTACCGTAGAATACCCGCACACGTCACACAATAGCGGAAGCATTACATGCTCATGGCTGGCCAGCAAACATCAGAGGAGGACTCTCTTTTGTTGGTTTGTTTGAATTTTTTCAGTTGTGGGATATCCTCTAGGAGACAATACTAATCCAGGATGCAGATATCCACCTTTGGAGACTAGAAGCATCAGTTCATTTTTCCTCCAAGTCTGCCTATCCGACCTTCTTTAATGGTTCAATTACTTTTGTGCCCTGGCGTCAAGTTTGGAGATCATGGGCTCCAGCGAAATGCAAAATCTTCCTTTGGTTGGCAATAAGCAATAGGTGCTTGATGGCTGACAGACTCGAGAGGAGAGGACTTCCACATCCCGGTCACTATCCATTTTGCGACCAGGAGGAGGAGAACATCCAACATCTTCTGGCGTCAAGTTTGGAGATCATGGGCTCCAGCGAAATGCAAAATCTTCCTTTGGTTGGCAATAAGCAATAGGTGCTTGATGGCTGACAGACTCGAGAGGAGAGGACTTCCACATCCCGGTCACTATCCATTTTGCGACCAGGAGGAGGAGAACATCCAACATCTTCTAACCACCTGTGTGCTTGCACGGGATTTCTGGTACCAGAGTCTATCCGTGTTGGGCCTGCAAGATCGAGTACCTATCTCTCATGAATTTCCTTCGCTGATTGGTGGCGCAAAGCTACCAAGAAACTGTCGAAAGAAAAGAACGGGCTAAACACGGTTATTATCCTAGGGGCATGGATTCTTTGGAAGCATCGCAATCTTGTGTCTTTGACGGAGCTCCACCAAGGATTTCTAGCCTCTTGCAAGCTTTCAAAGAAGAGGAGTTGTGGTGCCTCGCAGGTGCACAAGGCCTACAGACTCTCGGTCTATGTCACGGCTTAGGCTAGTTAAACTAGTTTGGCAGGTTTTTGGTCAAGTCTCTTCCTTGAGGTTTTTCTATTCAGTGCAACTTATTGTGTTTCATTCAACCCCTCATGGCTCGGCCCAGAGTGAGATGGTGGTGTTCATGTAAGGGCCGATCCTTTTCTCTCTATAATATAATACAAAGATCCGCAGCTTTCCTGTGCATTCGAGAAAAAAATGGTTTACCTTTTTTTATAGTATGTATTGCAAAGTTTATTAACTCGCCGGCTTCAAAAGGAGTCTATAATTACTTAATTAGTACAAATAAGATTATTTAACATAATATTGTGGAAATTGTTCTCATTTAAACAAAAGTAAATATAATTTTATTAGCTCCGGTCAGCATAATTATGCGCATGTCTTTTTAGACCAGAGTCTACTCAAGATTTTGAATACTTGACTATCAATATCTTTCAAAATATATATTGGAACTATGGATGATATTATTTTTGTATGCACACATTAATAGTTTATAAATTTATTAGATTTATAAACATACCGCCAAAAAAATTGTAGTAAAATTATGAAGTCTCCAAGGTCGAATTCGACGGGTACGGTTATACAGGCTGCAGCTGCAAGGTGCGCACGACGACGCCAGAGTTGGCCCCTCGTGTTTTTTTTCTTTTGTTTGATTAGCAAGTGAGATTACTGGAGCTGGAGGCGTTATTCACTGGAATTCTCTCGATCGGGGAGCTCGATGCGAGGCTTATGGCTCCATGCGGCCGGGGACACTCGCATCGACACAGAGATGCGAGGCTTATGGCTCCATGCGAGGCTTATGGTGTCACCTACGATGGTTACCAC